CTTTACTAGCTGGGTACCAGGAACTCAAGGATAGCTCCCTTCTGCATATTAGTAAATATGAGTGAACAATCTGGCGCTCCACGACTCGTACAGTCGAGTGTATCGTAATCATATTTTTACTGAAAGAAACGTCTGACAAAATATTTTTCATTGGGGTGAACTGACTCTTATTGCATTTGGAGACTTGGAGGCTTGTTTTTCTTCTTGCCCGAACACATTTACATTTTCGTGCAGACATAATAATCAAACCAATCAAAACTTTTCATGTATTTCGTGCGCGATTTTGGAATCGGTTCGCCTCCATATAACTCACACGCATCGGCCTTTTTCTTTTAGTTCAGAGGGGCTGTTGTGTCAAAGATGAGCTAATCGCCAAGAATTTCAATTTATTTGAAGAGAAACGGCTATAAAATAATAAGCGCCGCCGTGACCTCTGCACAGATGCGCCGATACGCGCACACACAGCTGCCGCCGCGACACAAAGCTGAACTGAATCTGCCCTCGTAAAAGCTGCTTCCAGACGCCTGACCGCCGAGTGTGAAAGAGAGAACACTGTGTAACCCAACGTCAGAAACCAGTGTGTTTGCCTGCAGATCTGAAGGCTTAGTCCCGCTAAGCCAAATAACACAATGGATAAGACACATGAGCGAAGCACGATTGGTTGTTTGTGGTTGCTGGCCTTAGTAACGGAGATAAATCTGACACACTGAGGCTTTTTTTTTTTTTTTTGCACCGAGAGACCATGATGTAAGCGTCAATATTATCTTTCGAATAGTTGCTGAGCAGGTACATTCACTCGTGGGAGCGTTTGACTGAATATGTTTTTTTTTTCAGAAACACGACGTCGTCTGCGCGGAGGCCTGATTTACAGTCGGAGCACAAGCCTTGGTATCCTTTCAACATTTCAAGTGTCTTCTTGAATCCAGAGCTCTCAGGGCTTTTAGCTTTTAGCAAGCAGCACAATGGCTTCCTGTCAAGCCAAGGGGCCGTATATCTCACGGACCAGGCTAATGATATCATAGATGCATGCGGATCAAAGTGCAGGTGAAGACGTTCGTGTCGTATAAACCCTCCACTGGAGCCTTAATACTCTCAGTTTTGTTCATCACAAAGCGCTTCACTCGTGGGTTTGTCTGATTCGCTGGACTTGGGGTATAAGTCTGCCACTTCCATTATCCGTTTCCCCTTTGCTCTGAGAAAACAACAACCTCAGAGCAGCAGCTACATGAAACATTACTTTTTTAAAAATTTTGGTCATGATTTGGATGGTGCAGTGAGGCAGGGCTGCACGGTTCTTCCAGTTAATTAGGCATTTTAATGACAGCGCTCCAGTCTCTGCACGCAAATATGCATGAAACAGTTCATTTTACAGTACGACCGTCTAGCGCAGGGGTGTCCAATCCTGGTCCTGGAGGGCCACAGTCCTGCATCTTCCCTCTTCCAACACACCTGATTCACATGATCCGGATCGTTATCAGGCTTCTGCAGAGCTTGATGATGAGCTGATAATTTGAATCAGGTGTGTTGGAAGAGGGGAACATCTATAACATGCAGGACTGTGGCCCTCCAGGACCAGGATTGGACACCCCTGGTCAAGCGTCCTAAGCGACGCACTACCCAAGAACACTTTGACGGGTTCTAGAAGTACTAACAAAGACTTTCCCCCCCGACAGCAAACGACAAACTCATGAGTTTGCTGTTTGTTGGTGACGTTTATCTTCAGGTATTTTCTTATTAACACATATAGTGTCCAAACTCCAACACAAAGAACAGTGTAGTTGGTGGAAAACAACCCTACGAGGTTGGATTCCTCCTCTGCATGCACCAATGAAGGTTTTCTCTAAAACTGAAGTTGGCTGTTGAGGCTTTGTAGGCAGTACAGTAGCCGACATCTCCATTCCTGTGATTGGTTATAGGAGCTGTACTGATTTAACCCTTCAGCTGCTGACTGATAATTGTTGTTGTCTAACCAATGTGGTGGACCACAGTAGGTCGCAATAACCGGCTAAAAAATTACAACTTAACCTGCCAAATAGTAGTTTTGCTTCTAAAATACTACAAATATTAGCACTTACTCAGATCATGATTGAGTCTTTCAGCAATTCTGATTTATACAAAATCGCTTGAGGGCAGTTATGTAAAGTAACTGAGTAGATTTACTAATTTAGTTCACTTAAGGACAATTTGGGGGTACTTGTACTTCACTTGAGTAATCCATTTTCTGCTGTTTTTATACTTTACTACAAGTCAGGAGCAAATATTGTAATTTTGCACATTTATTTGATGCATTTAATGAGTTATTATTTTGCATTATTTAGATTATTGATGCAAAACTTGATCAGTGAATAAATGATGAACATTGTTAAGTCCTGCAGTGACGCCTTAACATTAGATTCAGATAAAACTACACAGCAGGAAATGTTCAAATCAGCTGCACTTTTACCAGCTTAATAATTATAATCCAGTTATAAAAATATACATTACTCCTGAATGTGGAATTCTTCTCCTTTTAGCGCTTTAAGTATGTGTTGCTGCTAATACTTTTATCCTGAGTAATCTGAGTAAAAAAGCAGGATTTCTACTTGTAGCCGAGTATTTCTACTCTCTGGTGTTGCTGCTTGCATTTGAACATCTGAGCACTTCTTCCACCGCTGGGGACTGTGTGACCAATCAAAGGAGAGGATTTATCAGCCGCCGTCCAGCCTCCAAAGTCTCAAAAGCCGACTTCACGAGCGAGCGAGCGTCGAGCGGCCGTCACAGTCCGATGCTCGTGGGACCACATTTGTGCACGCAGAGTAGAAACGCTCCCTCGCCAGGATGATTTCCAACTCGTGGACGCTCAGATCATGTGTCTGGTTTCAATGCGGACGGGTTCGAGGGGGGACTAATTAAACTCCACAGAATTGAGCGTAACAAACTGCCTCCACTTTCTGCCGCCTGACCTTTGAGGGAGCTCGAGCCGGCGTATCATTTCCCAAAGTCATCCTTAAGTGAGGAGGCATCGCTTGCGTGCCGAAGTGCAGCGTGTGAGACACAGTGTCGCTGTTTTATAGCAGCGCTCCCCATAGGGCGGAATAGGCTCATCCTGGTTGGCTTAGCATGTAAATTTAGATATTCAGGGTTCAGTGACTTCAGCCTCCAGAGCCCCGTTAGTGGGTGAAGCCTGTGTGAAATGGAACAGTTTATCCTTTTAGATGAACCCAGCTCTGGGCTATACAGTGCTTCACAGCAGCAGGGTGGAGGGGGGGGGCTTCTCCTAGTGATAGGCTCGCTCTAATTTGGAGTGTTGACAAAAAATACGCTTCCTAACTCTAATGCTAACCATCCACCTACTCGCCGTTAATCCGAAACCTGAGGAAGCGATCTCGCTGCACTCCGGCGAAAAAGCACAATGCGGCGGGTTTCAAATATGTCTTTCTCTTTAAGGAAATTCTTCCACTTGAAGCTTTCTCAGCTGCGTAATCCCCACATGGCCCCCTTCCCATCCCACCCGGCCACTTCCCTTCATAACACGCTGACCACAAATGCTTTTAAACGCTCCCCAAATGAGCCCCTCACACCCCCCTGGCATCGTTCTTTTTTTGCTTTTATTAACCTAGAATCATCAACAAGTGTTTAAAACTGTATCTCGGCCAAAACATGAGGTCAGAGGAAGCCTGATACGAGGCAGGGACCCCCCGACAGGCCTGTCCAGAATGAATGTGAGCACCAGCACAGCGGGAGAACAGCGAGACACTCAGCCTGCCAACTTGCAGATGAGCGCTCATGACTGAGGATTTGCTTCGGCTGAGATAAGGTTGGATGGAGCTTACAGAAAGCAGATGGGCAAAATAGAAGGGAGACGCGAGAGGAGGAAACAAAGAAATGAAGACGGGGAAGAGATTAAAGCGAAAAAAAACGGAAGAGTCGTGGTGTAAATGAAAACTACGAGGGGAATTAGGTGTGGTTAAGAGCCCAGAAGGATTAAGATGAATAAGAAAAACACGAAATTCTGGAGAGGAATAAGGACGGAGGGTAAGAGACACCAGGGAGCGTAAAGTCATGTGAGCGAGATAAAACCGAACCCCCCCATTTACAACTTTAGCACGCATGTTTGTTTGAAAACGCTAAGGCTGCACTAGAGAATTTACAGTGTGAAATTACTTGTGGCAGATGTGTTTGTTGAGCGTTTTACTGCCTTAAAAGGTTACGGCAAAGTCAACCCATCAACGTATTGTCTGCCGCTCGAAAATAAAGTCAGAGTGGCATAAATTTATTCTATCCTCTGATCTGCCTTCTTGTTCTTATTTATTGCCTTTGCATTGTGTTGCGTGTCACAAATGTAAGAGATCATGGCACTTCTGTACATCTGGCATCTCTTATTTTTGCAGTTCCTTCAAATCTGTTGCGCTACGACGCACTCGGCAAAATTAAAGCTGTGGAAGACTTGAGACGACTCTAAATTCCCATTTAACCATGTGAACAACGTGTCACTTCGAGGGATTGTTTTTGCTCTTTCTGCAATGACATATGGCTCCCAGTGCTCCAGTAACAATTAACCATTGTGTAAAAACATTAAGGACACTTTAGGATGACAACTGAATCTTCTGAACTGTGTCAAAACAGTCTGATTGCATTTCAAGTCGCAGGGAGCTAAATCTTGCAAGAATGGCGTGAAAACTGTGGTGTTGTGGCCAAAAAAAACTATACCTACCGACACACCGCCTCAGGAGGTAGAACTAAAACTCTACCTCGACTGATTTACACTGAACAACCAGGTAAATATTAAAGAAAACAGCATGCTTCTGGTGAGTCCATTTCGGAGCTCGTCCACTGTTGTTTCTTCTGCTGGTGGTAGCCATAGACCACCTCTAATCGCCAGAGACATTGAATCACCTTGAACTTCTTGATCAGCTCTCATAATGTCAGAGGACAACAACAACACTACACTTATTTCCCCTAATACACCCGACCGCACATCACGTTGCCCCGTTTCCCCGCCTCCCCGCCTCCCGTCTTACCAGGAATTTGCGCTTCTGTTTCCACTGTGAGCCCTGAGCATTGGTGTGTCGATGGGCCTCCGTCACCAGGCGGATTAGGTCCCACTCTGTCCCGGTGGGCTCTGGACGGCTCTGGAGGGTTTTCACCATTTCCTCCTTCTTGCGTCGCTCCCTGTTCTCCTCAATCAGGCGCCGTTTAGCCACCCGCTTCGAGTCATCCAGGACCACTGGGAGGAGGAAGGCACGCCGAAAGAGAGAGGATGCCAAGGAAAAGAGATGTGCCGTGAAGTTACAGCTTCTATATAAGCTCTCACCAAGCCTTCTTTGTTAATATTTGTGGAGCACTACTACGATGTCCTGAAGCTTTGTCTTATTAAAGATTAATATCACCAAATGCACCTCAAATACACAAAGCAAGTGAGACGAAAAGCTACCTGCACTGATGTGCTATCTTGCCCCTACACTTTCCTAATTCCCTTGCAGTGTATAAATGCGTCAGTAGGACACTCACAGTCCATGGCCATGCCCACTGCGATGCACTTCTTGAAGCGGCAGAGCTGACACTGGTTGCGGGTGATCTTGTCGATGATGCAGCAGCCATCGTACTTACAGGAGTAGGTGGGGTGGAGGTTCTTTTGAATGGTCCTACGAAAGAAACCCTGCAGGCAGACAGCGAGGCACAGAGACATGAATGGGATGTTACAGGCACAGAGAGAGAGAGAGTTGGTGATGTGTGCAGGGAAATGTTAAGAAACAAGAGGAGGGTGAATGAAAGTTGAAGAAAATAGCACAAGAAAAAAAAAAAGGAGAGTCTAGAGAGGCGGGATATAAATGCTGAGTCCCTGGCGTCATATTGTAGTTTGGTACAGAAAAAAAAAGGAGGAAGGCATCAGAATTGCTACGACTGCTGCTGCTGCTTCTTGCGTGCAGGAAAACTAATTTAGAAAAGACACGGTTCATCGAAAACTTGAGCAGATTTGCTTCGACTCGCTACGAAGTCGGAGGCAATTTGTAGTTTGTGCCCTCCCTTCAAGTGTCATTTACAACCAGGAAATTTGCGAATATAAGAGCCAATAAAAGTAATCAAGCTGCAACCATTAGCCCACGCCAGCACTGTAAAATATGCTGAATGGCTGCAACCAACTGCTGCCGACTTGAGTAACGCTTTGTGCCACTTGTGTTTGTTTCCGTGGCCCGAGTCGAGTCACGTGAGGAAACAGAGACACAAAGACCGGAGCCTCCAAACAGCAGCAGAGACTCTTAAACTGAGATGAAATGAGCGAGCGGATATAAAGTAAGCACATGAAATACTCCTATGCTTTTTGGGGGAACCGGCCTGCACTTTTGCTTTCAATAGAGAGTCACTTTAGGACTGTTTTAAGTGTGGGGAGGGTCAACAGCTTCAATGGGAGGAACTCATATGCACCAACATGCCTACATAGATGCACCAAAACATCAAACAGAGAGTCAGCTCTGCTAAGGATGCCGTTACTCTGCTATTGTTGTGCACACAGAAGGTTTTGAAAAGAAAAATCATCTTAAAAATGAAACAACCAACACAACACAACTAAAGCTGTCGTGTTTCACTTTCATTTCCAACTGAGAATTGTATCGGTGATGTTTTGGCTTGATACGCATCAACCCGATTCGCGTGCTTTATGCTTATATTTGCAATACATTTAAGTATGTATATTTTCTTTTTATTTTCTTTAAAAGGTTATAAACCTACATGAACTGTGATCACCTCAACAGTCAATAACTATAGAAGAGAAAACCCTGTCAAATTTGACAACTATAGCTTTACAGATAGTTGTTTGCAGCTATAATAATGCGAAATGTATGTTCAAAATCTTGCATATTTATCAGCACAATCATTGCTGGAAGGCAAAAATGTAGATGTAAGACAAAGAAACTGCAGCTGGAAGTAACTTAATAGCTATAAAATGTGATGTAATATTAGTGAATAATGTTTAGCAAAGTGAAGACGCATTTGCACGCAAAAGGCTATTAAAATATTATTATTTAGCATAAATCAAATGTATTTAAATGATGCTAATTTCATTAAAAGTGTCCCAATCACTGAGTTTAAAAATTAGAGCTAAAGTTAATTCACTCTTTCGAATGAATCCCATTGATTTTTCTGCTTTGCTGTTTACGTTTGGGAGCTTTGACAACTTGAAGTTACAGTGTGTCCCTGTAAACTGATATTTTAATTTCAGCGAAAAACTGCACACAAATAAAGACTGAAACAATTAAATAACAGCAAGTTTAAGTCATGTTTTTTATGTTAACAGGAAAAACATTTAAGTTGAAAAAATGTCCTTAGAATGAGTCTCCAGCTTTGCTTATATCAGAGGAATCACATGATTTAAGTGCATCGAGCTTAAAATAGCTGCATTAAAATTACTTGTTGACTTAATTTGGACAAACATAATTCAAGTGAAGCAAGAGAATTATTAAAATTGGCCTTTCTCCGTGTACCCTACATAGCGTGACTACAATCCCCTCAGTGAGACATGACATGAGGAACAAACATATGAATAGAAGGAGACTCATCACACAACACACTGACAGCCAGGAAGACAAATGATGCAAGGCTGAGCGTTGATGCGACAGCGATGCGTCCATGACCTTGGCATGTGCTCGTGTATATATATGTGCTCGCTTTGAAGCATGCGACCGCCTCCGAGTGTGCGCGTGCATGAGTGTGCGTCACATATATAAGGGTGCACGTCGAGGCAGTTGACCTCAGAGGCCTCGCATCGAGCTTTCCTGGCAGATATTATGTGGGTTATGAACCCGGCGTGTGTTTTGCTGTGCATGCACGTACCTTGCAGCCCTCGCAGGTAATGCAGCGGTAGTGGTAACCTGTGGCCTTGTCGCCACACACCACACATGGCTCATCCTTTTCGAGGTAGCTGGGTATGTACCCTGCAGGGGAAAGAAGCAGGGGAGAGAGAGACAAAGTTAGACAAGATGATGCACAACATGTTCTCAACAAGCCACACTGGTGTCCATCCCCTTCACACTATTCACCACGTCTAGATCATCCACTTTACCTTTGTCGTATAACCACTTGGCACCATTGTGTTTAAGGCCAATCATGGATTCTGCATCCCTGAGTGCAGATCAATGCAGGCTTTAAAAGCCGAAAGTGGATGTGCATGCGTCTCTATTCATACAACAATAGGTCTGCTGCACAGACGGTCATATCGAACACAGAGAAGCACACGGAGCTCCTGTGGATGTTTCTGAAAGGCTGCCTGTGACTTTGCACTTTTTACATGACACAGCGGCTGGTTACAGATTGGACCGGAGCGCCACGTGAATGATTATTGCTGAGATTTGCCGAGCACAGCCGGTGGAAATGGCACACAGCTTTACTTTTAAAGCACCTGGGGATGCAAATTTTGAACAATTTTCTAGACAAAGACTCGGCAGCTTTATTAATCAGTAATAGATTAATCAATTACACACTATGAACTCAGTGGACATCTTTCCATGTCCTAATGAAGCTGCTTTAAATACAGTCATCGTGTAAAAAACAAGTACTAGCTTGTAGTACTATCGTCATAGCGCACTTAAACTCACAAACAAAATGCAAAATCTGACCAGAAGACATTATTCGTCACAGGAGACTTGTCATGGTGGCTGTTTCCCACAATGCTCTCTGCTCGCCAACATGGCACTACAGCAGTCCGAGTGGCTGCTTTCTGAGGTCGCTACAGTATTAAAAGCTGAGAGACTCCACCTGGTGGATCAACCAGGTACTGCAGCTGATCCACAACACATCCGTGGACAAGCACATCCTTCTTCTTCTGCCTTTTTAATTCATACATTTTTAATCTAATAACTTATTGATGAAATTAACATTAGCATCTCTAATAGCATCTTTCCAAAACAAAGTTTTAATGTGCGGCACAAAGCAGACATTAAAATACCGCAGATAAAACCAAGTGGACACAACAGCAGATAAAACAATAATTAAAACTACTCATAATAATTAAAGAACAAAAGAAATAACCCCAATTTAAAGGAAGAAATAAGCACATTTCTGGACAATTCAGAATTTCCCACTGTGCTGTTGATAAAAGCATTAACATTCTTAAAGCACCCCGAAAGTCCAGAAGGTGCTGCTTAAATTACAACTCCCTAAATTATGCATTTTAAAGGTCTAGATGATGGAGAATCTCTTTAAAACAAGCATTCAGTTTGACAGGTTTTGGGCTGCACGTGGACATCTGCACGCCTTTAACCAACACCCTGATGATTTCCAATCTCTGAATGTAGAGCCATATCGAGTGAACAACAAAGGATCATGAGTGGAGGTGGTTTTTCTGAGTCCTTTTTGATATCGTGCTGCCTGAGCCTCCACTCTTAAATTAAACATACACCAGCTGGAATTCTCTCAACATCGTGTAGCCTACAGAGAAGGGCAGAGATTGAGATTTTAGTGAGAATGATCTTTCTCAAAGTTTATTTTCCACTGAAACAAGAGACTTTTTTTTTTTTTGCTGCAGGCTGTACCAAACAAGCAATTTCCCCTTGCGTCCGGAGGATATGATTTATAGGCCGGGGCGTCTCCGCAGCGCCACAATGCTTCATTTATAATGGTGTGTTTTGACACATTTTCACCAAAAAACTTGCAAGCTCCTGCGATTTGGATAATATTTGGATTAATTGCTGGGCTCTGCTGCAGTCAGTAGCTTTCTGACACTTTGCGACAACGACGCTCACTCCAACTGTATTTAAAGACAGACGCGACAGCCCCTAGACAAGCTGATTTCGCTGACCTGTAAAGTCCTGGGCTTCCTGCGCTTTAGTCGGCACACTGTGACACTGCTGCTGCTGCTGCTGGGTGTGGTCGTCGTGGGGGCAGCAGCCACATCCGTCACTGATGCTGGATGTTACTATTTTACTGCTAAACTTCACTGTCCAAGAGAAGGTGCTGACAACTGCACCTCAGGAGCGACTTCCGCCCCTTCAACGTAATTACTTCTCTCTAATTACGAGACCACCCATTTGTAATTACGCTCTAATTAATTGACAGGTCTCCTAATGGGCCAACTAACACCCTGCTCTAAGAGGTTTATATCGTAAGTAAGCTTGTAAACTTTGGCGCAATTAAGGCCTCCTGTTTTAAATTATAACCTGTTGAGAAACATACAATATGCAAGTTTTTCATTCCTAATTTATCTCTTTTATTTATTTAAATAGAGCAACCACCACATTTTGTAATTGAAGCAAACTGAATGTGTTAAAATGATCATAAGGGAGGTGGGTTACATAAAACTAAAAGTGCCGGCTGATCTAAATTTACAGTATTTGGATTGTTCTCCCTCCGTAATCTCCTTTATCTGTCCGCAGCCTTTCCTCCGCTTTAAACTTGGGAACAGAACAGTTTGTTCTTTTTCCATACTGCCTGAAACACCAGCGAGACGAAGGGAGTGAGCACGGAGACACAGGAAATAGCAGATTTCCAGACATTTCATGTGATATATGACGGCTGAGGAGCTGGGAGGCGAGGAGATGGTACAGCGCAAGTCACAGATAAATTCAGAGTGGCAGTTTAAGTCCAGAGACACACAAAGTGTATTAACTGCTCCTGGTAAATCTCCGCGCTCCGTACATAAACTACACATGTGTGATGTTCCGGTGACCTACGCGGCACTGGGTTGAAAAAAAATAACTTTCAGCCCTTGATGTGTTTAGATTCTTATCCGTCACGCAGCAACATCAGGGAAATTGGTCCCAAATTCACTCCGCAGCGCGATAAAGACCCCGACCATAAAGGAAGACGAACAGGGAGTCAAACAGACGGCGAGGCCCCCGGAGAGTCTTGGGTTACATGACGAGACAGAAGACACTGAGACAGCTTAATCCACACAAGAACTGTGGCAATTTCTCCAAGATGATTGGAACAATGTACCTGCCAAGAGCCCGGAAAAACTGTGCGCAAGTGTTTCTGGGAGGATTGGTGGCGTTTCAAAGGCCCCATATTGTGCCTCTTTTCAGGAAGATGATGAAAAGTCTCACGTGTCCACAGCTCAAAATGCCACAAAGATGGATTCATTTTTACCACGACCGACTGCATAACTCCAGCTCTAGAGTAACTTTTGTGGTATCTTTGGCTTTAAATGCAGCTGGATGCACGCTCGCTTCAAGAAGAAAACTCTCTCTGCATCTATGATTGAGCAGCACAGAGATAAATGGTTGCGTGAGACTTTCAAATAAGGTGGAATTCACAGCACAGTCTTTGCTTTTAAGTTGTGAGTATCATGAGTTTGCTCGACAACGTTACAGATATGAAATCAGTATTATAGCTGCAGAGTCACAGATTGGAAATACTTTAAAAGCAACAAGCCGCAGTTCATCTTCTGACCACAAAACAGAAAATTATGTAAATGAAAACAGCTTTTTTGGGGGGAATATTTAAATGCAGTTAACGTGAGCCCAGAGAGCAAGAGAGAAGTAAACAGATGGAGATACTGGCTGAATATTGGCTGAACAGACACACAACAGGTGACATTAAAAACAGAGTAACCCTTTCAAATTAAAGCTCCCACCACCTCTGAATGTCCTTAAGCTTTACAGAGCTCTGCCTTATGCGCGCACGATTAAAGCTAATGTTAGCCACATTAGCTGCACATCGCACTGTTAAGGATTCTCCAATTGCTGTGGTGACATTTTTATCAGAAATATAAGTAATTCAATGCACGTTTAGCCAGATGCTGGGAGTGCATGAAGACGAACATGTTCACTCTTGCACCCAACAGCAGAGCATTTGCTCATGACTGAGACATTTCAGAGTTAGCAAAAGAGGCTCTAAAAGGTAAATAAACTTGGCGGACTGTGAGGGGAAAGGTTCATACAAAGGTTCAGCTTTCAATAAATGTAATCCTTTAGTTCTTCAGATGTTGGGAGTGCATGAAGACTCTCGTGTTCCCTCCAACAGCAGAACATTTGGTGTGTTTTGTTAGCAGCTCAGACATTTTAGAGTTAGCAAAACAGGCTCTAAAAGGCAAATACATCTGGTTGGACTGTGAGGCAGCTACTCAATCCAGACATTGAAGGGAAGTTTCAAGTTTCAGCTTTCAGTAATTGTAAACCTTTAGTTCTGGGAGTGCATGAAGACTCTTGTGTTCACTCTTGCAACCAACAGCAGAACATTTGGTGAGACATTTAGGAGTTATAAACCTGAAAAAATAAAAAAATAAACCTGATGGACTGTGAGGCAGCTAAGGGGCAGGATTACACAACTTTTTTTTTTGTTTGACGACTATTGTTTGCTTATTGTCTACGCAGAAACTGAATAAAATCCTTACTGGCCTGTAAAGCTGGGAGGCCGTCTAGCTGAAGTGGGGCGTAGATGAATGGCAGTGGTAAGTGTCTTCGTATTTTAATAGCTTTTGTTTTACACTGCCAAGTTTTTAAGTCATTAAAGAAACCATAAAAAATGGATTTTCACCATATGGGACCTTTAAAGGCAAAGGGTGGTCCCAGCAAATTACAACTTCATATGGTGTTTTGTCCATTTAATGCAGTTTGCATGGAGTTAATTGATAAATAAAAGACTATTTACAGCTTTGCTTTTGGAACCTTCACTTTTAATGCTGGTGCTATATGCTTGCATGAGTGAACCAAGGCGTGGTGAGAGCTGTGACTGGCAGTGTCAGTTGGGCTCTGCCTCTTGGCCTCGTTACAGATTTTAGGCGAGGAGGGGGAGACGAGAAGAGGATGGTGGGAAAAAGAGAAGAAGAAAGAGGAGAGCGCCAAAGGGCCGCAAGTGACATTTCGTCAAAATTGATTTTTTATAATGGCGCGCAGAAGCTCTCGAGCTGTTTCTGTTGATAAAAAAAAAATCCATTACGAATTACAGTATAATGAGAATTTAGGTATACATGGAGGGAAAAAAAAACACTTGTGAAGTATAGAATGAAAGGCGCACAAGTGCTTTCGCTAATAGAAAGTATTGGACGAGAGAGAACGGAGAGAAGAAAACAATGGAGGACAACAAGAAAGCTAATATGGGGAGAATGCAGAAGGACTGGAGGTGGAAGAGGACATCAGAGAGGCATCATATAAGGAAAAGCTCCGTGGTGTTGGCAGCAGCAGGCGGATCTTCGAAGCCACTCTGCTGTTTGGAAGCCAAGCCCAAAATCAATACTGCTGCAGCGCTCTGGCTCCGGCTACCTGCCCCTCCCGACCGCGGCCCTGCAATACCTCCGCAAAATAAAAAAAAAAAAAAGGAAAGAAGTGGGTTTTTTTTTTGCGAATGTGGCTAAAGTCAAGATAAATATTTTGTCTTCGCGATTTTCCCGAAGCTAACAGCTGCCATTTCGTTTAATCGAAGCGTGCGGATCAGGGGGCGGCACGAATCGGGTCCCCGAAGGAGGCTTGGGATTGTATCTCCGAGGTCCTTACATGACAACAGCTCAGCGAGGTGACATTTGAGACTGTAAACACTGAGGACATTAGGGGACCATACTAACTAAACACAGGAGCCGAAACAACAGCTGTTACACAAAATCACGAGTGTCGTCTGCTTCTGCTGCTGCTGCTGTTTATTGTGCCTTCGCCGACACTTAAAGTCTATTCCAATAAAAACACATATGACTGGAAAAGGGGACCAAGCTTGAACTGAGGATTATTTAAAAGTCACTGTTTTATTTTTTTCCAAACAGCGGTCCAAATGAGCTGATTTCTTACCCATAAAACAGCCCATTTTATGCTTTCTAGGTTCTTGGCTTTCATTTAGAAGTGCAACAATTCATCTAGTAATAAAATAATAATCTCCACCATAAAATTAATTGCAGTTTGAGTATTTTCTTAAGGAAAAAAAATCCTCTTATTCTAGCTTCTTTGGTGTGATTATTTTCTGGTTTCTTTCCCCCACTGTGACAATAAACTGAGTATCTATAACACTGTTTGCTTTTTTTCACTATTTTCTGACATTTTAAGGCAAAACAACTAATCGATTAATCTCAGAAATAATCTTGATAGGAGCTCAAAAGAAACGGTTCAGACAGAGGATAACAAAAAGGTGTCGCTTGCTGCAAAGAAAAAAAAAAAAGGTGTATTTTGAACATTAATCCCCTTCACCCCAAAATCCACTGGCAGCTTTGAAAGGCATGTTGTCTGACAAAAAATAAATACATAAAAAAACCACAGAAATTACACGATTTATCAGAGCCTGAAGCTGTAAAAACAGAAATATTTGTTGGATTTTAAGCTTTCCGACAGTCCTCGAGCTGCTCATCTGTGACACGAGATTCAAGCTGCAAAATTAACCTAAACAACAACCAAACAACTACACGATCAGTCGGAAAAATAAACTGAACATCAACTGTCTGAACCCCAAAATCTAAAATAAAAAAAAAATCACAGAAATTACAATCTTTATCAGAGCTAGAAACTGTAAAAACTGAAATATTTGTTGGATTTAAAGCTTTCTGACAGTTATTGAACTACTCATCTGTGACACGTGGTTCTGTCTGGAAAATTATTTAAATCTTGAAATTTTTATATTTTATCAAACCTTATTCTACATGCCTGAATAAAAACTGACCAAAATTAAACTGTTTGCTGTGACTTTTTTCTGTAAAAAAAATCTAAAATTCTTTCCTCTTTTGTAGCTCAGCTTGGACCAACAGTAATACGACACAAACTCACAGACTTTTTTCAGCTGAACTGCAGGCTGTGTTTACAGAAGGAGACAAATACGGAAACACATTAAAATGTAAGTAATAAAATATCTACAGTGTGTAAATCTGATTTTTTTCCAGTATTAATACCACCTGTAGGCACTTGGTAATAAATGCTGTCCACGCTGATTTCAGGTTTTTTTCAATGTTTGTACAATAAAGGAAATTTTAAATTTGTTTTGTCTTTATTATAAAATATGGCATTATAATGTTGTCATACTTTGTAGAAGACATGTCAGAGTTCTCTGTGCTTCTAGTCGTGGCTGTGCTGTTTCCATTGAGGTGTTGGACTTTATATTGCAGTAAAAATGAACCTTCAGGACGGGAGCGAAAACACTCTGAAGCATGTAAACATATTCTAACGGAGCCAAAAAAATGAAGTTTTAAACCCGTAGCTGTGCAGAATAGAGGCTCTTTAAAGCATCCTACTGAGCGTTTGCGTTTTTGGCCTCCGCACTGACATAACATCACCTTCTAGGTTTGTTTTACCTCTTGCGTCTCGAGCAAACAGTTCCCCATTAACGCGTCCAGGGAACTCGACGCTGCGTTAGCACGGACTACATCTGCGGCGGCTTCCAGAGTCAACTCGAGGTCCGCTCTCCGACAGGAAAGTCATGACATCATTACAGTGTATATAATTCAGCCTCAGACGAGCGTGCCTTAAGACAGACATATTGTCATACTTTCCCAGTTCAAATGGACCATGGCAGGTAGAATACGGTGCAAGATTCCAGCAGCGATGCAGAGAGTCGGGCAGTAAGCCTGCCGGGAGGGGGAAACATGTGGAAAGGACTTTGCCTCCCACCGTATCTCCCTCAGCATCTCCGTCTTTACTCGCTCCTTTCAGCTCGGGGGATTTGGAGCTGTCACTCCAGCAATGAACTGCGCCCCCGACGCGAAAGCAGACAAAGCAGAAGGCTTTCGTTTAGCGGTGACAGATGCCAAGACGCTTCACTTTCACTCTTTGGACTTGACAAATCAAAGGCGCGGCGTACACGAGGCTGCGTGCGAATCCCGCGCCGCTAACTTCTGCGTAGTCACTCAGCTGCTTCCATTCACCGCGGCGAGACTGACAGCTCCTCTAAAGAAGACTCCAAAATATCCAAAAATATATCTGACAAGTCTAAACAAAACGCTGGGAGAGCAGATTTTTCAAAACGTACGTTCGTCTTCGTACGGAGGAGTGTTTGCAGCACAGGTGTGTTTCTGAAGGGCCTCGTTCACTCTTCAGGTCAGAGAGATGTTGACTTCTCAGCTGCC